AATGAGAGAACAGAAACAAATGAGTCAAGCTAGAGGCATAGCCATCTAGTTAAGGTGCAGTTGCATTTTGAGCATAATTAGATGTTTAATTGCACAGTTAGATTTAATAGATATATTTGCTTTTTTAAGCAATTATTGATGAAAATAACTTTTAAATATAATTTATCCTCTATTTCCTGCAAATCAGACTGCTGACAGATTTGTAGTATTTGATTCTGGCTATTTTTTTTCTAAAATTTCCTTTGTATTGGATGCTTGCAAATAAAATACAGAGGAAGAGGCAAACACAGCAAAGCATGAATAACTCTCAAAAAGTATTTGTAAAATATAAACTCACCCAAAAGGATAAAAATCAGCATGAGCCAATACAGAACAGTTTAAAGCATACTTAACAGAGTGAGAATAAATAGACCTTCTCAAGGATCCATTAAGAAATTGTATTCAGAGGAAACTCTTTTTTACAATTAGAAGCCCTTAATCCATATTTCACAATCCAAGGATATAGTAAATGGCTACCCAATCTGTGTGCATGTGTGTGTGTTTGGACACATATACCTTCTGTGCATATATGACTGGCTGCAAGTATGGTACCATCTTGTGGTTAAGGCATTGGACTCAGACACAGGATATCAGATATTAATTTCACGACTGACTTCCTATGTGACTAACTCACTTTGTGCCTCAGTTCTCCATCTGTAAAGTGAAGATAATAACACTTACTTTGTCAGTTTTATGTACTTTGATTATAAATTCTTTGGGGCAGAAACTGAATATGACTCTGTACTGTGTATAGCACAAAGGAACCTTAACTTTTGCTAGAGTATCTGAGTGCTACCAAAATACAAACTAGTGATAATGTGAAGACGGCTGTATATATTTTCATCCTATAAAGCTGAGAAAATAATTCATGAATATTTTTGAATTTTATAAACTGTTTTTAATAAAATATTTGCAAATAGCATTTTTTCTTATTGTTTGGCCACTATTATCACCCTTATTTGGCCAGAGTACTACCCTTTATCAGAATTTAGTATGCATTCACCTACCCAGATTATGCAAAGAAGGAACAGAGCCAAAACCTCAGTCCTCTCCTCAGTAATATCTTGGGAGGCTAGCTCTATAGCTACAATGACTGTGATTGTGCCCAGGGTCCCAGGGACGCTTCGATAGCATGGAGATGAGCACAATATAAATAAATAAACTTAGCAGATGCAGATACGGGAGTTCACAAAAAGAACGGGAGTTGTTTCTTTTGCTCTCTCTACCCCCTTCTCCATGTCAGGACAGAGTCATGCACAATCAAGCATTCATAGAACTGTTAGCTGAGCTGTTTAGACATAGCCAGAGTGGAGCATTATAAGTAGAACTTTAAAGGAACACCGATTTCACATTAATTTTTGACTCCCACCTTTGAAAATCTTGGTTCTGATATTTAAAGCCTAGTATCCCATTTGCCTGCATATCAGGTAGACATCTATGTCTTGCATATGAAAACAGGGCTGTAGTGGAAAGTGTTTTGTGACCTATTATTGCTCACTATAATATAGTTTTGCTACAATGATGGAATTAAAGATTGGGAGCGAATGCATTAGTACAGATCTATATTATGCATTTCAGTTTCAAAATGGAATTTCCCCCATGCAAACCTTAGCAGAACTATTGTATAATGCATTGCACATATTAGCCGTGCAGGGAGCATCAGTTTATAGTGACCCCAGACTTCAGTTATCTTGAACAATAGAAATCAGATACAAAGGTAGGTGTCTTAAGACTGAGTTTGCAGGCATTCTTGTAAGAGAATTACTTTATTCTTTTGCTTTGTTGCTTTATTTGACATCCACTTCACATGACATATCAATGTAGCCTGATTCCCTTGCCTACTTGTGTTACCGTACAACGGTGTCTATGAGGCAATATCGTAAAGTTCCATGGACTCACTAAAGATTAGTGGTAGAATTGTGCTTCCTTGTTCTGGACATCAGCTTCAGTGCCAAAGAAACATAACAGTAAATGGACATTTAATGAGCTTGGAATTCACGGAGTGTTTAGAACAATAAAAGCTTCCAAATGAATAATTGTTTCACAGCAGGAAACTTTTGCATCCTAAATTGCTCAATGCTTGGACTTTAAAATAGCCTGCGTTTCTATTAGTTCATCTGTGGACACTGTAGAAAAGGCAGCAGACTGGGAAATGATTCATATAAAAATATATGCAGTATGGGTAACACTGGAAAAATGAAATCAGAATCATGTCATCTTAGGAACCATTATAAGGATGGAAATTATTTTCATTTGCCTACAATAGTTACAAGCAGAACTGAAACACAATTCAACAGCATTTTCATAATTGGAATTTGAAAATAGATTTTAGAGTTTTTCTGGGACTTCCACACATAAATCAGCCCTTGCTGCTACATTCATCATATATGCCATTGAAGGAAAATCAACAAACAGTACCTGCATGTGTCATTTCCTGAAACTATCCCTTAGGCATATTACATAGATCAGAATCCCCACAGATTCAATTAGAAGCCTATGAAAACAAACTAGGACTTTACCGTAGTTTTTAGATATCTACATTTAAGATATAATGAGCCAAATTATGCTCTGCATCTCAGATTTAAGCTCCACAGTGAGGATATCTTGTGAAAACTGCTGGTGGAATGAGGAAGTGCAGAAAGGAGTAAGAAATAAGGAAAAAGTCATAAAGGTGATGGAAAGTAACCCATAAGAAGAAGCAGTTGTTGCCTACAGAGTCTCCAAGGGATCAGCAAAGCAAGCAGTCAGAATGGTGAGAAACCTAACTTTAGGTGAGCTGTATAATGAGTTGAACAACCGTCCTCAGCTTGCCAGACAGAAAATATATGTGATATAAATGGACAAGAAGCAAAAGGAGGGAAGATGGAAGATGCCATTTGTAAGGGATCCAGGGGCAGACTGCTTGTAACAAGAAACATGGTACATAACAGGAGGCAAAAATACTGTGAGGGTCTACTTAGTGAGAAGAACCCTTTATATGCCAAGCTACTGTTGTGTGAACTGATAAGCAATGGCCTGTTAGAAGCAGATGTTAAGGCTGCATTTCTGAAAATGGCACCTGGAAAATCAGCAGGTCCAGATGAAGTCATGGCAGGTATGATCAAAGAATTGAGAGACATTGATGGACACAGTTTGGAAAGAGTAGAAAATTCCAGAAGAATGGGGAAAGTCTATACTGGTACCTGTATACAAACAAAAGGTGGCATACAAGACTATTCAAAGTACCAAGTAATTAATGCTGTCCCACTGCATGAAACTGTTAGAGAGAATCATTCATAGTCAAATTTGTTGAATAGTGGAGCCCCTTTTAGGAAAGGAGTGCTTTTGTTTTAGAAAAGGGAAAAGGATGACAGATTATATGCCAATCAATAAACAGTTGATGGAAAAGAAGCTTTCCTCAATTTGGAGAAAACATTTGACAAAGTACCTCAGTGACTGCTGAGGCCTCCACTGCAATTCTGTGGGGTACTGGAGGACCTTGTCCAGATGATGATGGTTTTGTAGGATGGTTCCATGACAAAGGTACGGATGCCCTTAGGTGCAATGGAGGGTTTTGAGGTGAAGGTTGGGCTCCATCAAGGATCAGTGCTTATCCATTACTATTCATAATTGTGATGGGCTTCATAAGCAAGCAATTCCAAATGGAAGATGGTACAAAGTTAAATTTTGTAGATAATGTTGTGCTAATGGCTGATAGTGACGAATACTTGGTTCAGACAAGTCATGCTTGGAACAGGGAACTAACAAACTATGGTCTCAAAATGAGCAAAGAAAAGACAGAAGTCACATGGGGACTCCCGTGGAACCAAGACAGTTGAATATCAACAATTAGGGTCAGTTCCTAAATCATGTTTCTGTGTTTAAGTTGCTGAGGGGCAAGTTAGTGACAAATGGACAAATCAACAGTAAACTTCAGGGAAGGCTGCTGACTGTGGGGAAGTCTGGTACAAGATAAGTGGAGTGATTTATGATCAACAAAAGCAGAAACTACTTACGGGACAACGACACAAAACTATGGTAAGCCGAGCTCTTCTGTTAGAATCAGAGACCAAAGAGAGGCACTTGAGAAGACCATTGCTGGGCCATGTATGGAATGAGGAATGATACCAAGGTTTGCTGCATCAGAGAGAAGCCACAAGAGAGGAGGCTGATATGGTATGGGCATATGTGAAGGCTGGATGAAGGGAATCCTATTCTGGAGCCCTTTGAGACTAGAATTCAAGGGCAGAGAACAGGAGGACAGCCAAGAAAATTGTGGATAGACTGTGTATGGGAAGATGGTGATATTGCTTCTGCTTTCTGACGGGATAATTTGCTTTTTCCTCTTCTAAATTATACACAGTAGCTTGTATAATATATTTTTCTATGATTTCAAAAATCCATTTTCCATCCATTTATGTTCTAAAACTGCAATTCTAAAATTTGTACAGATTATTTCTGTCCTCATCTGCACCCATTTTCACCCATTGCTCTGTTTATCCAGGTTCTTATTTGACTCAGATTACCTAGAGTGACTGAGCACCTACACTTTTCCTTGCTTTTTTTTAACCTTCCCTCCACTTATGGTGGGCAACTGTGCAGCAACCCTGCTTCTGTGGTTTGGAAATCGTATGAGAAGTAAGTTATCCTGAGATTTCTGGCTCATGAGGCAGAATAAAGTAGTATGCATTTTGATCTGAGAATTAAACCACCTATTCCCAAATGACTAGTCAGGAAATAACTACCATTCCACTGAGTGTTGGCAGAACACAAAGAAGAATGTGAATTTGACAATAGTACTAACATCAACGTATTTCCCAGTGTGTTATACTTTTATGAGCTTGAAATTTGATGAAACATATTCTGTAGCCTTTCATTTCAGACAACAGATGAGAAAAGCAAACAAAGCCTCTCTGCTTATAGTTTTGCTAATTGAAGTTCTTGTTGCACTGAAATTTCCGTGTTTTGGCTTTTTTTTTTAGGTTATATTCAGTCGGAGGTCGCGATGGAAGTTCGTGTTTGAGTTCAATGGAGTATTATGATCCTCACACAAATAAATGGAATATGTGTGCTCCGATGTGTAAGAGAAGAGGAGGCGTAGGTGTGGCCACATGTGATGGCTTTCTCTATGCAGTTGGAGGCCATGATGCTCCTGCTTCTAACCACTGTTCCCGACTGCTTGACTATGTAGAAAGGTATCCATTTAGTGTACAATTACATGTGCTGTTTTGGAATGCAAGACAGGTTACAATTATTTGTATCCTAAAAATTGTAAGAGTTAAGAGTTAAGGTTTGTTGGGTTTTTTTTACTAAATGACAAATGAACTAAAAAAATGTTATTAACCATATATAACTACTTTAGTAAGATAAATATCATATATTACCATAACAACTATCATACAAAAGTGGGCTTATAGAAAACAACACTTGCGTTGTTTTGTTTCATTAGTAGCACACTAACAGAGAAGCAGATCTAAGGTCTGTTCACATTTCCACTGGAAACTTCTGTGCTAAGGCAGAAATATTTTCTTATTGGAGAGACAAGAGCTCAGCATGTAAGCTAACCTGTAATACCAAATTAGATTTAGCTAGATTTAGCAATTTTTAAATTATCATCAGGCAAGTAATAAAAGAAAGCTCTTTAAGTAATTCTGATGCACACTGCACCATGGTGGTTCCTTCAGCAGGACTGTTATTGCCTGACTCTGTATTTACAGTATATAACCTGTACTTTGCATTGCACAAGGAAATATTCTGTGAATCAAGAGAGTTTAATAGGACACCAGGGCACTATTGAAGCTATTAAGATCTATCCTGCCTGTGATTTTCAGATAGGCTTCTACATTTAATTGAGGTTTTAGTTACATTATTAAAAAAAAAAAATTAAGAAAATTAACATATCAAAGGTATACAAAAGTTATAATGCTAAAAGGGAGGACTAAAGAGGAAAGTGGGAACATACAGAGTTAAAGTTGCCACTTCTTTCCAAGGAGAAGGTTAATCAAAATCTTTAGAAGTGGACATGGACATGAAACCCTAGATTTACCTGAGGCTCATGAATTATAAAAACATAGAGAGCGAAACAGATAGAACACTTTTTGCTTTTCCAACATCTGTATTGGTTGTCATATAGGAGCAGTGTTACTTTGGAATTTGAAAAAAAGAAGAGTGTGAAATGCATTTCTTTTTCAGCCACATATGATTTTTGATTACTCCCTTGTTTCTGGGTTGAATTTTCCCCTCACTGAAATCAATGGGAACGTAAGCATATAGCTAAGGTTTGAATTTGGCACTTTATATAAAATGTTACTCTTATCTAATAACCAGGCATCATGAGAGAAGTTAAGGAAACAAATTGTATTGCTTGCTTTTTTGTGTTGAAATATGACACAACCTAATCTCTGTTAATTTTAATTCACTTTTCCTTTTTTTAAAAAAAATGGGCACATAATAGTATTTTATGTCATTTCACATACATGTACTGTTTATGTTAAATAAACCCATACCAAAAAAAAGTTGTGCCTTAATTTAGTGCACATGAAAGTGAGGGATTTAGAGCACTGCTTTGAGCCAGGCATATTGTAAACAGCTATTCTAGAATCTTCTCCACATAACTGTGACCTGCAACATCTCCAATCATAAAAAGAAAAGGAGTATTTGTGGGACCTTATAGACTAACAAATTCTAAGGTGCCACAAGTACTCCTTTTCTTTTTGCGGATACAGACTAACACGGCTGCTACTCTGAAACATCTCCATTCTTGTAGTCCTGGACTTTTATTGACTAAAAACTGATATTCATACACCAAACTTATTTGCATATGTAACCTGAACAAGACTTGATTCTAGGTTTTTGTAGACACAAAGGCATCGACACATAGAATCACAAAATCATAGAAATGTAGGACTGGGAGGGATCTCAAAAGGTCATCTAGTCCAGTCCCCCACATGAAGCAGCATTAAGTATTATCTAGACCATTCCTGATATGTGTTTGTCTAACTTTTTCTTAAAAAACACCAATGATGGAGATTTTACATCCTCCCTATATAATATGTTCCAGTGCTTAACTACCGTTACAGTTAGGACATTTTTCTTAATGTCTAGCCTAAATCTCCCTTGCTGAAATTTAAAACCATTGCTCCTTGTCGTGTCCTCAATGGATAAGGATGACAATTTATCACCTACTTCTTTGTAACAAGCTTTTATGTTCTTGAAGCCTGTTGTCATGTCTCCCGCAGTCTTTTCGTCTCTAGACTAAACAATCCATTTTAAAATCTTTTCTTAGGTCATGTTTTCCAGACCTTTAATAAATTTTGTTTATTATCTGGACTTTTTCCAATTTGTCCACATCTTCCCCGAAGTGTGGTGCTCAGAACTGGACACAGTACTCCAGTTGAGGCCTTATCAATGCTGAGTAGAGTGGAAGAATTCCTTCCCATGTCTTGTTTATAGCACTTCTGCATCTCAGAATGATTTTCGCTTTTTTTGCAATAGTATTACAGTGTTGATTCACATTTAGTTTGTGATCCACTATAACCCCCAGATCCAAGTGTATTACATTGCATTTGTCCTTACTGAATTTCATCCTATTTAGTTCAGAGCATTTCTTCAGTTTGTCAAGAGCATTTTGAATTCTAATTTGTCCTCCAAGGTGCTTGAATCCCCTCCCCTTGATCTCATCCACAAACTTCATAATTGTACTCTGTATGCCATTATCCAAATCACATATGAAGACATTGAATAGAACCAAACCCAGGATACATCCCTGAAGAATTTCACTCACTATGCCCTTCCACCTTGACTGAACCACTGATAACTACCCGTTGAATACAGTTTCTCATCCATCTTACATTAGGCTCATCTAGGCTATGTATCTCTTGTTTGCTTGTGAGAAGGTCATGTGAGACAGGATCAAGAGCCTTTCTAAAGTCAAAATATATTGCATCTACTTCTTCCTCCCATCACAAGGCTTCTTACCCAAGGATATTAGGTTGGTTTGACTTGGTTTTTTCTTGACAAATCCATGTTAACTGTTACTTACCTTATAGGTGCTTACAAATTGATTGATTATTTGCTCCATTGTTCTTTCTGGGTACTGAAGTTAAGGTGACTGGTCTGTAATTTTCTGGATTGTCCTTATACTCCTTTTTATAAATGGGTACTATATTTGCCCTTTTCCATTCCTTGAGTATTTTTCCATTCTCCATAAGTTCTCAAAGATCATTGCTAGTGGCTCAGAGATCTCTTCAGCCAATTCTTTAAATATTCTAGGATATATATTTGTTAGGCCCTTTCAACTGGAAGACATCTAACTTGTCTAAGTAATTCTTAACTTGTTCTTTCCCTATTTTAGCCTCAGACCCTACCCCATTTGCATGGATGTTCACCATAGTAGTCATGTGAGCACTAGTAACCATTTTGATGAAAACTGAAATAATAAAAGGCATTTAACACTTCAGCCATTGCTATGTTTACTTTTATTGTCTTTCCTTCCTCATTGAGCATTGGGCCTACTCTGTCCTTGGTTTTCCCCTTACTTCTAATGTACTTGTGAAAGGTTTTCTTGTTGTTCTTTATGTCCTTATCTTGTTTAATTTAATTTTGTGCCTTAACATATCTAGTTTTGTTCTACATGCCCTACATGCATGATTTTTTTGGTATGACTATTTTTTTGAGTTATAGGTCATTCAAGATCTCCTGGTTAAGCAAGGGTAGTTTCTTACCATACTTCCTATCTTTCCCACTCATTGGGATAGTTTGCTCTTGTGCCTTTAATAATGTCTCTTTAAAAAACTGCCAACTCCCCTGAACACTTTTCCCCATAGGTTTGTTTCCCATTTACCTAACAATTTTCTGAGTTTGCTAAAGTCTGCCATAGTCCTTATTTTGCTGTTTTCCCTCCTACCTTTCCTTAGAATCATGAGCTCTGTCATTTCATGATCACTTTCACCCAAGCTTCCTTCCATCTTCAAACCCTCAACCAGTTCCTCCCTGTTTGTCAGAATTAAATCTAGAGCAGCCTCTCCTGTAGTTGCTTTCTCCACATTCTGTAATAAAAAAGTTGTCCCAGTGCAGTCCAAGAATTTGTTGAATAATCTATGCCCTGCTGTATTATTTTCCCAAGAGATGTCTGGGTAGTTGAAGTACTCCGTTACCTCCAAGCCCTCTGCTTTGGATGATTTTGTCAGTTGTTTAAAAAAAAGCTTCATCCACATCTTCTTCCCATCTATACTGTCATCCTCAGTTAAATATATTTTCAAAGAAGGACATAACTTAGATAGTGCCAGAGCCCATATACTGTACCTAAAAGATGGCAATTTGTGAAATCTTTCTTAAATATTTTAACAGCAGGGTTTTAGTGCCTTCTTAACTGCTTTGCGGTTCATAATAATGTTCTCCTAATTGGGTGTTAAAAGATTTAATTGTCTTTACTTTCATCTTGATTAAATTGGTCTCTAAACCTAAACATATAGTTAGGGCTAACATCTACATACATTACTGACTTTATTAATCCTATTGACTTCACTGGGACTACTCAGATAAGTAAAGTGAGCAGGTTTTTGTACTGTCTAGCTGAGAATTAAAATATTACTATCATGCATTTTTCCTCCTCCATCTTTTTTAAAGGACTGAATGTTTTGACTAAAGACCAGGAATTCTATTATAACTCCCAGTTTTATCCTAATTGTTGTAAATTATGGGGGGAGAGGGGGGTGCAGATTACAATAATGTCTGAAGACCTGGAAGGGGAAATACACATATGGTAAAGCCAAAAAATGTTAATTCTGAATGGATTTTGTCAAAGACTGTATGACTTTTCCTCCAAAAGCACCATATGCCTCTAGCTAATGTTCATTTTACAACCAGCTTTACCAAGCGTGCATTGTGTCTTCACCTCCCAGAGGGCAATAAACTTTAATAGACTCTATGATACAGTATTCTCTTTCTGATTGCAAGGGTCAAGGTGAGTAGCTGAAAAAACAGACAAGCTAAATATAAATAACATCACTGTGTTTTGTTTTATAAACAGGTAACCAGGGGCTAAATAGAATGCTTAGAACTCAATTCTGTCAACAAAACACAACTGAAAAAAGAGCTCCCTATTTGTAATTGCCTGGAAAATGCTTACATTTTCTTACAATCTTCTGTGAAAAACAGTTGTACATTTCATCTTTGTAGTAACTGCATGTGCTCCAGGGTGAGAGGGGATGCAATAAAAATTCCTGAATATAGAAACTAATAAATTTTAAGCTTTCAAGGTTAGGGCAAGGAGAGAGGCTACTGAGCTTTTGCTCATATTTTTAACAGCCTTATATAGAATCATAGAATCATAGGATATCAGGGATGGAAGGGACCTCAGGAGGTCATCTACTCCAACCCCCTGCTCAAAGCAGGACCAATCCCCAACTAAATCCTGAACATCACCTATTTGGGAGTAAATGCTATTTAAAAAATTGGTCAAAATAACCCCCAAATAATATAATTTGTAACTGAAAAATACTGAGTATTTTTATTACACCTCTAATAAAATACTACTAATAATAAATATGCAGTATTACTTCCAGCTGCAGAAGATTTGGGAAAGACATGCAAAGAAATATAGCTTTTGTTTTTCTCCAAAACTATCAGATTGATTGGGAAATGCCCTTACATACATACCAAAATTGGGATAGTTGAAATTGGAAGTCTGATTCACAGTTTCTACTGATTAGGATTTAACATCATTTCCTAGCATCAAAGCTGATGTCATCAGATTTGGATAAATCTCATTAAAAAAAAAATCAAGTGTGTCTTTTGACAACCTTTGTGAAGAAAATGGAGATTTGATTAAAGCAGGTGTGAGCAGGCTGTGCCAAAATGTCTGTCATAGCATACTAAAGGCAAGTGAAAGAAACATCTAGCCAAATGAAAGTAATGGCATAGATAATAAAAGTGGATACAGTTTTCAGAAGTGCCTAAGGCCTAGATTCACAAAAGTTCTTAGGCACTTAAGTCTGTGCTTAGATGCCCGAGTCCCAGATTTAGGCACTACTGCAATTCACAAAACTCCCATTGAACTCTGTAGGTGTCTAAACTCATTCAGCACCTAAGATTTTTTTCAATAAAAGGTTCCCTAGGTGCCTGTATGTCTGACTCTGGGCATGTGCACACTGCCCCACTTCAGGAGTCCAGGCACCTATCTCCCATCTAAGCTTCACAATGATTTGCAAGTCAGGTAAAGATAAGTTGCCTAACTTGCATGTGGGACCCAATCCAGTAGGCATGCTCAGTGGCTGCCTACTGGATTGGGCCCCTCAAGTGAGTTCACACAAAACAGGGTGGTGGCAGCGGCTCTCTCTCAGAATGTCTAGCCCAATAGTTATGGAAGTCACCTGGTATGTGGAAGACCCAGTTCAAGTCCTCCTCTGCCTCATCTGCCTGATGAGATTAAGGGATTAAGCTAGCTCACGAAAGTTTATACCCAAATAAATTTGTTAGTCTCTAAAGTGCCACAAGGACTTTTTCTTGTTTTTGCTGATACAGACTAACATGGCTACCACTCTGAAACCTGTCACTCAGGCTCTGTGAATCACTGTATTCCTGTGATTTTCTAGGAACCTAAAAGATAAAAGCATCACATCTAAGTATCTTTGTGAGGCTAAGTGACTTATTATGAACCTAGCTCTTATTGACTTTTGGTGCGACTTAGGCTCCTAAATTCTTAGGTACTTTTGAACATTTTACCCAGCACTTTAAAATCTAATAACAGGCATATTACACTGGAATAGAGACTACTTACATTTTTTTTTACATTAGATCTTTCTTTCTTTCTTTCTTTCTTTCTTTCTTTCTTTCTTTCTTTCTTTCCAAACAGTATAGCAAAAGGACTGCCTGAATTTGCCCTATATTCTGATGTAATCAGTGTTGTGTGACTGATTTGGTAGGTTCTGCACAGCAATCCCATTTATATTGCAAAAATACATTTTCACTTTTTAATAAACACTGAGGGACCACTTCTGACACCCTTAATCATACTGATTAGTATCTTACCATGTGAGTAGGGTCATAGATCTCAATGGTATTACCAGTACAGAGTAGTGCTACTTAACATGAGTAACAGTGGCACAATACAGCAAGAAACATGTCTTGACTTCTCAGACAGGTTTTAATCAACTTACTGTAGAGTTCAATCTAATTTTAGGAAAAGTAGTTTCCAATATACCATAGAAGAACAGTTTAACTAGTTTGGTTTTATTTACATAGGGCCAGATTGTGCCATTCTTAGTCATGTTAAACAGCACCTTACTCTGTAAATAGTCCATTCATCTCCAAGGACAATCACAGAATAAATTACCATTCAACATAGAAGTATCTGAATCTAGCACATAATTTTTTTTTCTGCTGCTGAAAAGATTGTTCAGATAAGAAGCTTGTATACAAGTTTTTTAAGAGAACAGATTTTTTGTAAAGATGGACATGAGCTAATACCAAGGTTTTCATTAAGCTTGCAGCTTCCTTTCTTCTTGTTCAGATATGATCCAAAAACTGATACTTGGACAATGGTGGCTCCTTTGAGTATGCCTCGAGATGCAGTTGGTGTCTGTCTTCTTGGTGATAAATTATATGCAGTGGGTGGATATGATGGCCAGACATACCTGAACACTATGGAATCATATGACCCTCAAACTAATGAATGGACGCAGGTACTTATACACTCATTTTATTTTTTTCCACAATGCATTAACATTAGTAAGTAGCTGACACTGCCATAGCTGTAAAATTATTCCTAATATTTTAACAACTATTATGATACGAGTTTCCCCAGAAGAAACAAAAGAAAAATGTTTCTCTTATGAAACCAAGAAGAGACAGATAAAGTAGTTGCTAAAATATTATCTAGCTATGCTTTTAATAACGTTTTTAATCTGTCTGATTTTCAATTGAAATGCTATTTTCATTCTGAATTTTCAGTATATTGGTTGAAATTGAATTTGTAGTTGTTGAAAGTGGCTCTGCTGTTTCGTTTGGTGACAAATATGTCATGCAGATTTCTTGCTGGGAAAGCAGTTTGTTTACTTTGTTTAGCATGTAGAGTTTTCTATTCATTCTCTCCTTCCATTGCCTTTGTCAAGGTTCCTTCCCCACTCTGAACTCTAGGGTACAGATGTGGGGACCTTCATGAAAAACCCCCTAAGCTTATTTTTACCAGCTTAGGTTAAAACTTCCCCAAGGTACAGACTATTTTACCTTTTGTCCCTGGACTTTATTGGTGCTACCACCAAGCGTCTAACAAATATAACAGGGAAAGAGCCTGCTTGGAAATGTCTTTTCCCCCAAAATCCCCCCAAGCCCTAGACCCCCTTTCCTGGGAAAGGCTTGATAAAAATCCTCACCAATTTGCATAGGTGAACACAGACCCAAACCCTTGGATCTTAAGAACAATGAAAAAGCAATCAGGTTCTTAAAAGAAGAATTTTAATTAAAGAAAAAGTAAAAGAATCACCTCTGTAAAATCAGGATGGTAAATACCTTACAGGGTAATCAGATTCAAAACATAAAGAATCCCTCTAGGCAAACCCTTAAGTTACAAAAAGACACAAAAACAGGAATATACATTCCATTCAGCACAGCTTATTTTATCAGCCATTTAAACAAAACAGAATCTAACGCATATCTAACTAGATTGCTTACTAACTCTTTACGGGAGTTCTGACCTGCATTCCTGCTCTGGTCCCAGCAAAAGCATCCCACAGACAGAGAGGACCCTTTGTTCCTCCCCCCACCACCACCAGCCGTGAAAGTATCTTGTCTCCTCATTGGTCATTTTGGTCAGGTGCCAGTGAAGTTATCTTAGCTTCTTAACCCTTTACAGGTGAAAGGGTTTTTCCTTTGGTCAGGAGGGATTTAAAGGTGTTTACCCTTCCCTTTATATTTATGACAGCCTTCATTTAATGGACACTGTGAAGTTCGCTGAATGCTGAAATATAAAAAATGTGACTTGGCATGTGGAATATACAACTGTGGTATGATGGGTGGAACTAAGATGTGGCAGAAGGAACATAGATTAGCGTGGTTTAGGAATGCCTGGAATATTTTGGAGACACATAACAATGGCTTCCTAGTACATTTTTGAAAATCTCTATTTCTTACCACTCTGTCTCTTTGTGTCATCACTTATTGCTAATGAAACCACAAGTGTATGATTTATTGATTATGCATCCTGTGATATGACAGGCCCATGCAAAAACATTTTTTTCTAAAAGGCATAAAGGTGTGCCAGTCCCCATAAAAAGCATGAGCAACTGGGTTTTGTAGAAGTCAGGAATAAGAGAGCTCTCTGATTTTTAGGTTTTTCTGGAGTAGCCATTATGACAGTGCTGGAACAATGAATGAACCACCTAATCTTCCACAGGCCTTACCGTGGCAGCCCCACCCTTCTACAGCAACTAATTCTGTTTATGGGTTGAAATAGCAAGCTACAGCCCCATTATACTTGCGTAGGGAACAGGAATCAAGTTAGGAACACTTGTGCCACATGGTTTTGAAACCAGTAACCATGACTTTTATACATCTGACTCCTGCCTGCTTGGGATCTGACTGGAGACTTCCTCCACAGTATCCAGAATATGGAAGGCTTAGCAACTGTTCTCACCCCCTCGCCCCCAACCCCAATCCCATGCAGCCTCACCAAATGAATCAGGTATTGCAGAAGTCTTGCTTCAACCCGCTGCATTGTGGGTTAATTTTACCCGAGGACAATCAATTTATGTGACTGTTGAAATAGTTATCTTGGTAATTCTTTTTCCTGGTTAAAAGTCCCCATCACAAGTTGCTATGGAAGGCATGAGCAAAGTATCGCACAGTCTAGTAATCTGATAAATATGTGTGCCTCTGCATATATCGGTACACAGACACTTCTCTAGCTCTGGATTTTAAAAGATTATAAAAGAAGTATTGAACTATACACTTTAGGATTTTGGTGTCCTTTAGTGTAATTAAAAATAAATCTTATTGTCAACAAGCAAAATTAAATATCAAATGGTTTTTATTTTCCCATAGATGGATACAAGATTTATGTGGGTACTTCCCACTAATCCTCTTGGGAATGTCAGGCATAAATCCATTAGGACTTAATTCTACCACCTTTCCTCATCCTGTGTAGTATCTTTCCACTGAATGGGATTACTTGCCGAGTATAATAGACGTGAGGAAAAGGAGTAGAATATGGTCCTTAATTAATGAGGTGAGAATAGATTTTACTGTGTTCTTGTAAAAAGGAACAGAGAATCAGCATTATCTCTGAATTGCATATTGTTTTGACTTGTCATAACAACATGTCTTAAAGTCTGAAGGAAAAATCCTGCCTTCAGCCATTTGCATGTAACATGGCCACGAAGTACACAGTAAGTCACACTTCCTACTACAGCCCAAATGCTGCAAAAGCAACCCAGAATGACTGAGTGGCAGCTTTTCATATCCTGGCTCCAGGCCTTAGGAAGGATTTCTGGAACCACATGTTCTAGCCCCAGAGGAAGGGAGACTTTACTACAGGAAGTCAATGGTGTTCATTGGAATTTATCTTGCAGGAGAGGTGGAATTTTAAGGCTCCACAGTTCTACTCTAGGACTCCAGTACAAAGCATATTTCCTTAGGGAAGGATGAGATTTTGACCTATATCAGCACCTCAGCTTTTAACATTCTGGTCTTTTTTGTGGCTTTGCGTCTCATCTTTCAATTTCACCCTTAGTGGCCTTTGAAGAGTTATAATAGTTATGAACTCCACACAGGAATAATTGGAATATATATATACTGCACTATACGTATAACAATGCTCTTCATTGTCCACTCAGGAAAAGTAGTGATAACACCAATAGTTCCCCAAGATTAAAATTGTAATAGTTTGGTTATGTACAATAGTAACATTATGGAAAATCATGTACAAAGGTAATTTTCCTTATCCTTACTGCAGTGTAATCTTTTAGCTTTCTCAGTACCTTGTGGGTGCCAGGATGCTTATTAAAATATGTTTAAATAATGATTTTAGATTTTAAATATAATTTAAAAGTCTCATGAAATACTTTCTACTCCTCATTTTTCAGTTCTGCCCTTCATCTGTAGTTCTTATCATTTGGCCTGTGTTATACAGGAGGTCAGACTAGATTACCACAATGGTCCGTTCTGGCCTTGGAATCTATTGTTTAGTTCCATCAGAGTGAACGTAGAGTCATGTCTTTCCTGGTAATTATTGTCCCTTAAAATTCTAGTGTCAAAGACTAATCTAAAGTGCATGATCAAGAAAGATAAGATGGTCTTGCTGTTGAGGTACTGGACTAAGAGTCAAAAGGTCTGTCTTTAATTCTAGGCTGTGACATACTTCCTCTGTGACCCTGGGCAAATTACTTATTCTCACTGTATCTCAGTTCCCTATCTGTAAAACACTTATTTTCTCCTGCTGTTTGTCTGTTTTATCTATTTAGTCATAAAGCTGATTCTGCCATCTTACTCATATTGCATAGCACCGTATTCCATCACGGAATACTCATGATGTTGGGGTTTGTATATTACATAAATTTAGCTGGCAGAACAAGTCCTCAACTGGACTCTCAAGTGTTACCCTAAAATGCCACAACATTTAAATCATTGAGACAAAATAGTGTTATTACAAGAATTTGTGGCAAGCACATAGTAGCAGAAGCTATGAGTCATCAATGTATCTAGCAGTTATTGCCAGTAAAACGTAACTTTTGGAAATACCACAGCAGTAGCCCGATCACTTTCTATCCTAAGTATAAATGGACAGTGGTATTGCAGATACCAGTTTGTGATAGCTGTGGGGAAATGTAAACATTGGTACACTGTTGTCATAAATATAAAGGGAAGGGTAAAACCCTTTGAAATCCCTCCTGGCCAGGGGAAAGCTCCTCTCACCTGTAAAGGGTTAAGAAGCTAAAGGTAACCTCGCTGGCACCTGACCAAAATGACCAATGAGGAGACAAGATACTTTCAAAAGCTGGGAGGAGGGAGAGAAACAAAGGGGTCTGTGTCTGTCTGTATGCTGCTTCTTGCCAGGGACAGAACAGGAATGGAGTCTTAGAACTTTTAGTAAGTAATCTAGCTAGGTATGTGTTAGATTATGATTTCTTTAAATGGCTGAGAAAAGCATTGTGCTGAATAGAATAACTATTTCTGTCTGTGTATCTTTTTTGTAACTTAAGGTTTTGCCTAGAGGGGTTCTCTATGTTTTGGAATCTAATTACCCTGTAAGATATCTACCATCCTGATTTTACAGGGGGGATTTCTTTATTTCTATTTGCTTCTATTTTTTATTAAAAGTCTTCTTGTAAAAACTGAATGCTTTTTCATTGTTCTCAGATCCAAGGGTTTGGGTCTGTGGTCACCTATGCAAATTGGTGAGGCTTTTTATCCAACATTTCCCAGGAGAGGGGGGGTGCAAGTGTTGGGAGGATTGTTCATTGTTCTTAAGATCCAAGGGTCTGGGTCTGTAGTCACCTAGGCAAATTGGTGAGGCTTTTTACCAAACCTTGTCCAGGAAGTGGGGTGCAAGGTTTTGGGGAAGTATTTTGGGGGGAAAGACGCGTCCAAACAGCTCTTCCCCAGTAACCAGTATTAGTTTGGTGGTGGTAGCGGCCATTCCAAGGATAACGGGTGTAATATTTTGTACCTTGGGGAAGTTTTGACCTAA